GATTCTTGGAATGCCAACGTTTCGTGAATTTTACAGTCAACTTCATTAGGGCGAGGAGCAGCCTGATACTGAGTTGTTCCTCTCTAAGAATGCTGACAGTACTTTAAGCCATCCAGTGTACAGAAAATCAACACACACAAGTAGATACATCCCGAGTCATACCACCCACAAAAACAGTCTATAATTAATTCAATTGTACATAGAGCTTTTACCATCTCTGACAAAGAACATCTACAAACAGAACTCAATCATTTAAAAATAGCCTTACAGAAAATGGACACGACAAAAAAGACAAAACATAATCAAAACAATCAATAAATATGCAAACAAGACATAGTCTCTGACACACAATCAGACGAAAGGATCCCATCCATTCTCCCATATGTCAAAGGAATAACAGTCGGATTGGCAAGATATTAAACAAACACAATATCCGAACTATTTTTAAACCATTCAAAAAGATAGGACAAATCTTAAGAAATCCTAAAGATCAAAGACTTCCACACAGCTCCGCAGGAGTATACAAAATACTTTGTTCCTGCGGGCAAGTATACATTGGAGAAACTGGGAGAATGGTCAACCTACTGATAAAAAAACACCAAACGTGATGTCAGATTAAAACACATCACGCAATCAGCATTATCAGAACACAACATCGAAAACAGAATATCAAATATTGTTTGATAAAACGACCACAATAACCAACATTACATCATACTTTCCAACAAAGTGTAGAGAAGCCATAGAGAAACCATACAAAAACACCTAACAATCTAATTAGATAATTAGATGGTTACAATATAAATAAAATATGGAAAACTATTTTCCCGATTATTGAAGACTGATTTCCCCCACTTCTTTCCCCTCCCCCCCCTACAATTTTCTACTTTCCCTTCACCATTCCAACAAGTAGCGTAATATATAAAAGGATCCGGAGGAACAGCTCAGTATCAGATTGCTCCTCGCCCTGATGAAGTGGACTGCAAGGTTCACGAAACGTTGGCATTTCAAGAATTGGATCTGGACACGGAGAAAACCCGCAAACGCATTATCTTTATATATATATATATATATATATATAACG